TCTTAATAATCTAGAAAACAACATGACACGCAGAAAACAGAAAGAAAAAAGATTTAAGTATTAGAGAATGAGAAAGAAATGTACCCAAAGGAAAAAAAATGACTTGGTTTAACCAAGATTGTTTACTCCATATTTTGTACTTACAATTTCTTGTGGCATGGTCCTTCTTCCTTGAAGCATTCAAATAAAGGGGGCTTCCACTTGTTTGCAGCTAAAGTCTCCAGCAATTGTGATTTGGCAGATATCTTTGGCCCACCTAAAAGAACAAGATGTTAGCTAGTAACATTTTGGTGGCAAATTTCAATCCTGAAAATCCCAAATTTGTGCTTTAAAGCAAACTTTATCAAAGAATTCAGGACAGTTCTGGTGAACTCACTACCAGTCACTAATCAATGAAATTACCTGAGTCGTTATGAGAGTTTTTATCATCCTTGCTCATTTCACCCACCTTGGTTGTGTTCTTTATGGTGCTGGAGCCATCTCCAGTCTTGATGATTTGTGATGGGTTAATATCTGCTAATAAATCTGCTGTTGTGTTTGCTTCATCATCAAATTGTTTTGCCGGCTTCAGCCCCTCTTTGGGTCCTGCCCTAGCACCTTCTACAACATACTTCATAGTTGGCTTGTCTTTCTTAATAATCTAGAAAACAACATGATACGCAGAAAACAGAAAGAAAAAGGATTGAAGTATGGAATTACATTTAACCAGGTAGATAAATAAAGATTCCATAAACAAAGATATTGCTCATAGAAAGAACAATCGAGGGAAGTTTTTGGTTGTTTATACCTGGGAAGGGGTTGGTGGTGGCGGTGGCTGCATCTACAGGAGGAAGGCGTTTGAGATTGATGCGTAGCTGTTTTGGTTGCGTGCATTTATTCCTTTTCATTTCCATGGCAGGGGTAAACTAGATAAGTTCATTTCCCCTGCAAGGGTACAGTTTTGTGGGATTATTGGTGTATTTACTCACTCTACTCTTAATTTGTTTTAGTATGGTCCATACATGTTTTTGTTCTGATTATCATCCATTAAACCTTTTTCTTTTTTCTTTTTTTGAAGTATTCGTGATTAAACCATAATTAGTAATGTTGTTAAATTATCTATCTGCCCTTTCTCTACTTTAAGGTCACAAAATGTTTCTTTAAATTATTTTTGTTTGATAAAGATATTAAATGGATGATTTTTAAGTGTTTTTGGATGATTTTTATGTGTTTTTGTTAAAAATAAAAAATATTATTTTTATATATTTTTAATTAAAAAAACACTCTATACTACATTTCTAATCATATATACTTTTATCATTTCTCAATTTTATTATGTATTTATATAATGATAGGTTATTGAAGGTAGTTATGGTTTCTAACCATGGCTGATGAAAGGGGAAAATATTACAAAAATAAGAAGATTAAGGATGATAGTAGAATAAAGAAGAATAAAATGATCAAAATAAGAGAAAATTGAGAATATGGCTCCCAAATTGACCACTAATTTAACTTTAATAAGTTACGTGCCGTGGGATCCTCATTTCACAATTGAAGAGGAGACCAGATGGCAAGTAAAATAGTAACCAGTGCTGTCTTTCAAAAGTGGCCTAATATTAAAATACATTTGACCTTGTTTTACGGAAGTTATATTTGATAGTGTAGTAAACAATGTTTTTAAAATTATTTTTTTATTTTTAAAATTTATTTTTAATATTAACATTTTAAAATTATTCATGCTAAAAAATTTCATAAATTTTTCAGAAATACATTAAATCACAAAAATAAACATATCAAGTGATTGTTTAGCTTCACATGTTCCAAGGCTTTGATAGCAAAAGGGAGTTAATAAAGCAATCCACATTTAAAAAAGAAAATTTAAAACAATTAAATTAAATTTTATTTTTTTAAGGATTTGATCTGAACTAAGATTTGGATTATCGAGATAATCTATCAAATTGAGCAGGGTCTTAAAACCACGTTTAGGATCAATATTCAGAATTAACCAGCTTAATTTGATAGATTAATTAAAAAATTATGCTGATTATTTATAGTTTAATTTTTTTTATATTTACCTTCCATTTTTTTTAATATTACAGTTTATATTATTTATGTAAATTATATTAAATTATATAATAATTAAAGATATAAACTATATTTTTTAAATACGAATGATAAATATAAAAATAACTTAACTATAAAATAATCTAGATAATCTTTTCTTTTTAATTTTAGGTTTGAAGTTTAGGGAAAGTAACAACAAAAGAAAGGTGTTTTCCATTTTTTATTGGTTTGGATCAAATCTGAACAAGTTAAACGAGTCTTTTTTAATAAAAACAAATGTAAATTTTAATTGGATCAATATATCGTACTAAAATTTTATAAATTGTTCTACAAGTTATATTTATAAAAAGTTAGTTTATTATGACCCTGTTTGAAATTGAGTTTAAACATGTTTTTTATCAAAAAAAAATTAAAAAAAATTTGTTTTCAAATTAAGTTTTTTTAGCATTTTTAAAAATTTTTTGTTTTCAAATTAAGTTTTTTTAGCATTTTTGGATTGTTTTAATATATTAATGTCAAAAATAATTTTTTTTTAAATAATATTTTAAAGCATTTATAAAAAAAAATAACTTTTACCATATTCTTAAATCCCATTAAAATGATTTCCATGTTTAAACTAGATTTGGAGGTTATTGTTTCAGAGTTTTTTATTTTTGAGTTTCTTTCCTAATTGTTGAATATTTATTTAATTTAAGTTTTATTAGTTATTTAGGTTTAATTTACTATTTAAAAACAATTTTGTAACATTCAATTATTAAAATTCAAAGTATTAAATGGAATTATCTTTACAATTTAGCCTTAAATTTAGGATTGGTGAAACCTTTTTATCATACAACGCGTCATTAGCTCATCAATCTGGAGGTTTACAACCATGATTACAGGCACTTGACATACATTCTCATCTTGACAAATCTTGAATGTAACCTTTCATATTGTCCACATACGCATATACAAATCATTGGACATCTATATGAAGCAGTATGGGAAAGATATTTTAATATGGCTATTTGCTTTGATGTTCTTCGACAATGCTGTCTAGATTTGGTTGCCACTGATCAAGAGATGTAAATCTGTTGGGTGATCCTGTTGTCATCTGCTTTCTTCTCTTCCTGGTACAATCCTTGGACTCAGAACACCCTATGCTGCCTGATGATTTTGTTTCCTCACTTGTATTAAGAGTGTTGGCTTTACTATCGATGTTAGTTCCAGTGGTGTTTGCTCTCTCATCGTCGTCTCTGTGTAAGCAAGGACACGGTGACTTCATGTTCTTGCTAATAAAATACCAGCAATTGGATGAGATATCACTGCCCCTTTCATCGTTGTTAGGGGTCTTGCTGGCTCGGACATCATTGATTGGAGATTGAGATCTTGTGTTGGACCTACGCTGAAGCTTTCTGATTGTGTTTATAGGAACGACATAGAACTTCTGACCAAGCAGTAGCATGGTGTCTGGTGCAACAATAGCCCAAGGCTGCCGGAACACATGCGGATAGGCGACTATGCATCTTGGGTTACGAAGCATGACCTCTTCTGCAAGAACAGGCCTATCATGGAGCTCTACGTGACCTCCGGGATGAACAATTTTAACAAGCATATTCTTGGTGCTATTGGTGCAGATGAAGCTTGGTAGTACCATTTCTCTTTCGAAATTTAAGAGATAAATGGAGAGGAAATGTGGCCAAGTAGTGGGGGGAATTAAGCAATTGTAGCCATCTCGTGGGAGTTTAGAATGTTCAATAAAAAGGATACGGAACTGTTGATGAACTCAAGAATATATCTCCAATTTCACGGTTTTTGTTTTATTTGTTTCTTTGATAATATCATGGCCAGTATGTCAAATCTAAGCATTATGTTGTAGAATACGTCTGTTTGTTGCCTAACTGTGAATCATGTCGTTGCATGACAGACAAGAATTACATTGTCTCTCATAATTGATCGCCACCCTGCATCATTGATGATCTGCATCATGTGATAATCAAATAGAATTCACTTAGTTTTCTAGGTATACACATGCATGCTGTCATCAGAATATGCTTGATAATCTGCTTAGATTTTGCATTTTACAGTTGGCGTTGACGAGGATTTCAGGATCTGTGCATAGTTCTCCCATCTTCCGTGTCTGTATCCGACAGGGTGGACTTGAGTCAAAATCCTCAACAGATGAATTCAAGAGTTTTCGGACCTTGCTTAATAGCGTTCCTTTTGTCCTATTGGGTTAGGCCATCCAAGCTTCTGCATAAGACAATTATCTTGTATCATTTGCTACCTCAATTGGTTTATACTTTCTTCGATCCTAATTGCTGTTTGTTTTTGGGGGCAGTATTGTATCTGCCATACGAAAATATTCATATTCCAATTCCATATCTGGATGAGGCATCCAAATTCTCTAAAATTACTAGAGTTTTACATTGCCTTAGCCGATCTAAGCTCTCTCCTGCTTCATCAGAAAGCAGAAATAACTTTGTTCAGCAGCTCTTATAAATTTAGTTGAAGTAAATATGCAAAGCGGGTAGCCCGAGCCTGGCTGGTTTATTCCAACTTTATTTCCATATTTAAAGGCAAGTTTTTGAGTTATACAGAAGAATGATAAGTTTCAAACCAGTCAAAATGGAACGTAATGGCTTATATGTAATGATGAAACCATGAATAACTTAGTGTCCATCGATGTGCAAATGAGCAAGCGTTGCATGTTACTCAAGAAAAACTCGGCACGACGAATGGTCATCTAAAGCTACAACTTCACACATTACAACACCGTTAAGGCCATGTCTTGCAGAAAATGACTTGAAATGTCAGAGAGGGCAGCTTTGGCTACAGCGTTGTATATCTCCTGATCTGCAATGCATTGCTGCTCAAACAGCTGAGCTCTGGAGAACTATGATCACGGTGTTAAATATCCACATAACAGAAGGATAGAACAATATCTGGTGATCGATTAAGTTGACTGGATGAAACAATAGAATCTACCACCGTACATTATTTTCATGTCCTTCAGCAACTACCACCCTCCTTTTTATCTGATATCGGGACATCTTACTAAAACCTCGGAAAGTTGTGTTGCTGAAGATCCAATTATTGAGGCAGTTTAAGGGGAAATCAACTAAAAATAAATTCAATTAACAAATGTAACAGGACATCTTACTTAAACCTCGGAAAATTGTGTTGCTGAAGATCCAATTATTGAAGCAGTTTAAGGGGAAATCATCTAAAAATAAATTCAATTAACAAATGTAACAATGAAAAAAATAGAAAAAACTCTAATGATTTTCATACATTTAAATATACAAAAGAAATGGTCAGTTTGAGATGTACTCATCATCAGAGAGAAGGCAGGGCAAGAGGAACAGGTCCTGTAATTCTCAGTGACCCTCCAAGCTCAAGAGGTACAAGAGGGATGAGAGAGTGCAGGACATCTGTTATCAATGGCCTGTAACTTGGTTCTTGTTGCACGCATAGTACTGCCACTGCAGCTACCTACTCAAGGGTAATATGTGATTAAATTTGTACGCTAAAAGCAAGAACAAAAAAGTAACGAGCACACAAATATTTAGTTTCTTATTCAATATACCTGGTATAAGTGTTTTAAATTCATAGTGTCTTTGATAACAGGATCCACAAAGTTGGGAAGCTTTGATCTGTCAGCGAGCCGAGGCATGGCCTACATGTAAAAAATGATGGTACAATTAGGTTGACTCCTCGAGGCATGACTGCTAAAAAATGTTGAAGGAAAATTACCCATGAGACTATGAACTGAAAATGATCCGGAGACGTCTTTTCCACTGGTTTTCTTCCTATCAGGAGTTCCAGAAGGAGAACTCCAAAAGCATAGACATCACTTTTATCAGTTAGTTTGCCTGGAAAGGAAAAATGGAAGCGATCATACATCTCTTTCCAAGAGATTGGCTGAATAAACAATCAGGCTTCATTCTGTATCAAAGAAAGACTAAATGCAGGAAATGTTGTTTAAAAACCTTCACTATGTAGCACCGAGGAAAGAAAAAGATACTCTCTGGTAGAATTTTATAGTTCTTGAAAATGAAATAGAAAAGATTTCCATGGATCTCCTGTTACCAAAATTCATCATCAAAAAGCACACATCAGAATTAGATTAAGAGGCTATAGCAAAACCCGCCTCATTCAACACCTGACATTCTTCTCACAGAATATGTTCAGCCTTGTTAACAAACTAAGCCTTAGGGATGAAGCGCTAAAAGACACCGCATGATTTTAAAAATATGAAAACCTTTTATAAAATATTCTGTTTAAGCATCCACTATCAGAATCTCTCCTCAACAGTAAGCATTTTTAGTTCTATTTCTCAGATATAGAGCTGAAACAGTGATTCTTCCTGGAAAATCATCACATTTCATGTGACAGAAGTTAGAACTATGAAAAGTTCATCAAAGAATGCAAGAACATGGTATTTAATTGCTGAAAATATGATTGACAAATAAACTAAGAAATCATAGAAGAAAGCAACAATGTAATTTGTAATTAGCAGAAGTATGAAAAATATGCTGGTCAGCAGCATATGACTTCTCTGGAAGTAGAGATCAAACAACAATGGTCAGCAGCATATGACTTCTCTGGCAGTAATTTGACATACCATCCAAAAGGTACTCTGGTGCCACATAACCTAAAGTTCCTGAAAGCTTTATGTACTTGTTTTGGATACCAGAAGCTACAGCAAGGCCAAAGTCCGAAAGCTGAATAAGTAAAAGCTCATCAAACGAAACATCCTAGTTAGAATCACGGACCGGTGCTAAGAACATGCAACTACGAGGAGTGCAGTACTCATGAGGTTGTCATACATGCATGGCTTTTACCTTTGCATTGAAGTTGGAATCCAGAAGAATATTAGATGACTTCAGATCTCTATGGACAACAGGAGGATTGCAATGCTCATGAAGATACTCTAGTCCCCTGGTCAATATCAGTTTTGGTGGGAGGAAGTAGTAAGCATAAGAAAAGGATAAAGAAAGAGGTAAAGCGCAAACCAGAAAAACAGGAGTTTGAGTTACCTTGCAACATCAACAGCAATTTTCATTCGCAGATTCCAAGTTAATGCTGATCCATGTGTTGGCCCTGCATGTTCATCAATAGCATAAATAGTGTAAGAAAAAAGGCACAAGTTGGAGTCTTCTAATGCTTATTTTTTAATTTTAAAAGTCGGATAGATATGAAGTTTACCATGCAATTGACTTTCCAAAGACCCATTTTGCATCATTTCATACACGAGAAACCTTTGTTCACCATGAATGCAGTAACCCAGAAGAGAAATTATGTTTTGATGATGAATTTTCGTTAACCAGTTCAGCTCGTTCTGCATTTACAAACAAAATTTCAATGGAAAGGAAAAAAATTTAAGAATCCATAATGATTCAAAACAATTGATAATCAAATCAATTTCATGTAATACGTTACCTCAAATTCTCTTTCAATGTCCTGTTCTTCACCTTCAAATCTCCTCACTGCTGCAAGGAGTTTTTCACTGAAACAAGCTTTATACAAACATCCACGACCACCTTCACCCAGGACATTAACTTCCTGGAAATTGTTTGTTGCAGCTTCCAACAAATGATATTCTATAACAGCAACTGAACCCTTCTTCTCAGCCATCCTCAAGGAAATTAATTTATCCACAGTCGGGACATCTAAATATTAAATTCAAACAAAAAAAGCTGAAATACTGAGTCTGCATAAAAAGCACAATCGTGTGTAACATGCCTCAAAAAGGAAAATTGTAACAGGAAAAGCAAATTCAATTCTTGGAAAAGAAGATACCATTGCCTTTACTTTTGGCACAGCATGTCCTTGATTTTTTCAGTCTACAGATCCAGCAACATGAGAGAAACAACACTATTCCAACAAGGAGAGTGGAAGCAACAGTTAGTGCTATTAGGGTTCTCTTGTTCAAATCTTGGTGGTGCACTTCTTCAACCACAGCCAGAGGAATCCATTGATAAATAGCAGGGGAAGGCTTCCAGGTACCGGTTGTGGTGTGTTTTTTATTTAGATATATATTAAAATAATTTTTTTGAAAAAATTAATTTTAAAATTAATATATTAAAGTGATATAAAAACATTAAAAAAAATATTTTTTAACAAAAAAATAAATAAATAAATTTAAGGAACACGATTTTCACCCTTCCCAAGCAGACTGACTACAGCATAGTGAAAAGCCTTAGTCGGATATAATTGCTATCCATAAAACAAAAATCGAGAAAAGCTAAAACACACCAATCAGAGAAAAGCAGAATACATTAAACGAAACAGGAGGAGCTGATATAACAAGTTCTGGAGAGAAAAATGCAAATCGATTATGGAGAGAAAAATCACATATGTTACATCAATTTTTTCTATGTGCTTCTTTTTCTCAAAATAAGAACGAGTTTGGTGCAGTATTATTAATTTCGTTTCAAGGTTCATGTCCGATTTCTGGGTTTTTCCCCCTATATTTCACAAGAGACCAAAGAACACGTATACACAAATTAACAATGTTGAACAAATCTATAACAGGATCACGTTATTGCACTAAGGGTTTGAATTTTGAATGCTTAATGTGAAGCAAAGCCATCCCCTCTAGCCCATTAACAACTTAAAGTACAGAGACATACATATAAAGGCAATGAGTGTTCAGGAACCAAGATGAGGATAAAAACACAAACTTCAAGAAAAGAAAATGAGCATTGATAACATACTTGGAGATTGATCTTCCATTTTTGAAGAGAAAACAGAAATGGGATTGTCTTTGCTAGCAAGAAGAGAGCCAGAAGTGGGGAAAGGAGGTGGCTCAGGTCTGTTGCCAAGCAAGAAAGACAAAGATGTACTTAACAACGCCCACATGGGCAATGACGTACCAAAAAATCATAGCCTGTTTGGGTGGTTTAGTTGTTTTTTAAGTATTTTTTATTTAATAATATATTAAAATATTTTTTTATTTTTAATATTAATATATTAAAATAATTTAAAAATATCAAAAAAATATTAAATTGAAGCAAAGAAAAAAATAAAAAAATTAAATTTTTTAAAACATAAAAACAAATATTACCTTAATTTTATATTTTTGTTTTAATTGAATGTCAAGATTATTTTTCTACCCTTAAATTCTCAACTTGAAAATCTAACTTAAATGATATAGTATGTGCTGTTTATTTTTGCTGTTAAAATCATGTTTTATAATTTTTTGAAAAATATTTTTTGTTTAAAATTAATTTTGTAATATTTTTATATGTTAATATAAAAATAATTTTAAAAAAATAAAATTTTATTATTTTTATATATCTAAAAAAATAATTTAAAAACTACATAATTCGTTACCCTAAGATTGTAGAAGAAGACAAACTAAAAACTGTTTCAGGGTAAAGGACTCATGCTAGAGGCACTCTCTATAGCAATCGCCTTTCTAGTAAGCGCTCTGTCATGAAACCACGTGTACTTTTAATGAAAATAAATTGGATTCACCCTTTGTCTAGTTCAAAGAGAAGAGGGAATATCTATCATTATATCATAATTATTTCTTTTTTACTATCTGATTTTTTTTAATTAAGGTCATGTGAAATTGGTCACAAAACTGTAAAAGATGATTGAGTAAATAAATTGAAAAATTAAATATTTAGTTTTTCCTTTTACAATCCACACATGAAGACTCAGTAGCTCTTAAATTTATAAATAGGAGCACAGATAATTATGTAGAACATGTGAAAAATATGCAAGAATATCTTATAAAATTATGTAGTTGTAGTTGGGGTTATAATTGTGTTTATATTTAGGGTAATTATGTTTTTTAAAATATTTTTTTGTTTGAAAACACATTCAAATAATATTTTTTTATTTTTAAAATCAGTATATTAAAACAATCTAAAAAAAAAATATGAAGTAAAAACATAAAAATAAAATTTATTTTTTAAAAAAATACTTTTGAAATATAAAAATAAATTACCTTTTGAAAAAAAATGCATAGTAAACTTACAGGTTAAATTGAAATGCATATTTGATATAATATAAAGCTAGTTTATTATTTTATATAATTTTTTGTGTATTAAGATATACATGTAAAGTTTCTCTACTTGCGTAAGGATCATATGTACTCCAATCTCATTTTCTTTAATTAATTACTAAATACCATAAATGTATTGGGCATCTTATATCGCTTTTGTAGTTCCAATTTAGAAACAGATTAATATTGTGAGGCATGTTAATTAATTAAGTAATTTTAATATTATAGTTGAGATGAATTATAATTTTAACCACCATACACTTCCTGTAGTAAAAATGCGATTGTAATGTTGAGTTTGAACCACAACCCGGTTGCACTTTGTTTTTTTTATTTTTGTATTTAAATTATTTTTTTATTATTTTAATATGCTAACATGAAAATTAAAAAAAAAAAAATTGCTATGAGGACCGGAAAGTGGAGGGATAGAGAAGGATGAATTCGAAAGAGAGCATGCATTAAAACCTGTATTTTAAAGTATTTTTAATTTAAAAATTATTAAATTATTTTTTTAAAAAAAAAGATCTTTTGATGATTTTGATACATTAATATTAAAAAAATATTATTTAATATATTCTTAAATGCTGCTTAGAAGCGATGGTAGCTAGCAATGCTTGAAAAGGGAGGAAGATAGGGAGAGGAGGCAAGTGGAGGTGAAATCACGTAGCAGTTATTGACTATGAAAGGTGGCCATGACCTCAATTCAAGAGGTTTGAGAGAGAGAGAGATAGCTGGCGATGACCTGTGCCTGAGTGACTCCCATTAAGGCAGCCTCTACTCTCTGCCACCTTCCCAAAACCACCGAGGTTGATTGAACAACAGGAAGAAGAAGAAAAATCTCAGGAACCTATCGGCGAGTTCGTGATCTTGAAGAAGGTAAGGTATAATACCTAGTTCTCTGGCATCAACATAACTCGCATGCGAGGGAGGTGTAGCAAGGAATTTTTTCAGTCATGACTATTAAATAAATATATAAATTTTTTTAAAATTAATTATTAACTCATGTACGAATTTTTAAAATTAATAATAAAATTTTAATTTAAAATATAAAAAAATAAATTTAAAGTACATAAAATAAAAATAAACTCATTATTGAAGTTACATCATTCAATATTTTGTAAAATATAATTTATTTATAATTAAAACTGAATCGATATTGTTACAATTCTCAACTAAAATAAAATAATAATATCATGTCAACTGAAAAATAAAATAATTAAATTTTTTTCTTCTCTCATTTTCTTCTTCTTTCATTTGATTTTTGCATGAATTAGTGTTTTATAAACTAGATTTTATAAGTTTAAAAGAATATTCTCTTATTTTTTTAAAAAAAAATTATATTTTTCTCTTTCTTCTCTCTTTCTCTCTCTTGTCTTTTCTTTGCTTTCTTTTTTATTTTTGTTTTTGTTCAGTTGGCAGCATCTACAAAAAAGAAATAGCTTCTTTGTTTTATTTTTTAATTGTAAATAATCATTTTACTTTTAATAAGTTGTTTTGTTTTTATTTGATGGTTTTTTTTGTTAGTACTATCAAACTGCATTCATCCTAAAATTTTAACTAGATTTTATTTAATATAATTTAAAATTTCTCATAAAATTTCAGCTCAATCTAATGATCAAATTGAAAATTACGTCCACCGATCAAATTGTGATATTTCATTAAATTTTTAAATTTTTTCAAAAATTATAAAATTTTAACACAAGTTAAAGCATAATATTAAAAAACTCTATATAAATTTTTAAATTTTTTTAATAACTTGATTAAGAATTATAAAAAAAATACATAAAATTAATTAAAAATATTAATAAAATCTTTAACTCGGCTATAAACCACCCAAGCCTTTAAGATGCTTCCCCCCGGT